ACAACTTTTAAGAATGTGCATTTATTGCATGTTGTCAAAACGAATTTAGAGATTTTTTTTACAACACAACCCTTGGCATGTTGTTGTATGTTTAGTTCTACAACACAGTGCGCATGCTATCAAAACTGTATCACTTTCCTTCAACAAAAAAATTGGTGAAAAAGACCCCTGTCATGTCATCAAATTTGACAGACTTTTGGATGGAGCTAATGGCAGGGAGCAATGTGGAACATCAAACTTGGTCAAGGAGGTAAAGTGGGTCACTTTGACTTTCAGGGGGCAATATGAGATTTGACCATATTTTCATGGGGCACTATAGTAAATCAGCCTTAAAAAAAAGAGTGCACAATGTATTAGGCAATTAGAGAAAGAGGTGAAGTGAAGTGAGAGTTGGTGAGTGGAGTTCATGATATAGTGTGAGTGTCCAGTTTGGATGCCTAATGAATCAATTTATTTTCTGGAGACTTCATTAAGACATTATGATATTTTTTATTAATGGATATACTTTTCATTTTACTTTTTAAAAAATATTTAAGGGTGGTACTCAAAATATAAAACTAGTTGGCCTGTAGGTATAGCTCATTTGGTTGAGTTCTTCCATTTCTATCTATGTGGCCAGGGGTTCAAAACCCCGATCCCCAATCGCTTGTACTAATATATATATATATATATATGGGGACAGATCAATGGCATTATATTTTTTACACAAGTTTTGAGACAAATTTTGAAAGATATATATGAGGGCATATCAATGGCTCATATTCAATCTTACAACTAATTTATTATTATCTTTCTAATAATAATTTTATTCAAATCAGTATTTTTTTAATCTAAGAATTATGAATTGCATAGTATCCCAAATTCTACATCTCTCCCATCCGGGTGCAGATCCGTTGTCCCCATTTTATGTGTCCCTTCATGTCCCTTGCATAATTTTTTGACATGTATCTATTAACTTAACCCCCAATTAACAATGTTAAGTTGTAGCAAGATATAAAATAAATAGAAATAAAAATCTAAAATCTAAAAACAAATAACATAGTAGTAGTCACCACAATCCAACGAACGCCACCCCATCCTCCCTCCTCCCTAGTTCATCGCAAGCGTTGCACATCAAAGCATCCCTATCAACACAACGATATAGATCATTGAAAGTCACTTTCTCTTTTAACAAAATGATAACCACTGCAGAAATACTAATTTCATCCAATAAGAATCTAGTAAAAAAAAAATTGGATCAACTTACATAGAACTAAAAGGAATCAAATCCCTAATTTCTTTTTCTAGGTTACCATTTAAATGTTTCAACATAATTTTTAACTTTAGAGGGTGTATCAAATTCTAAGTTTTAAAGATTTTTATAGAGTTTAAAAGTCTAGAGGTATTCAAGTGTGATTTTTAAATAGTATTTAAAAATTTAATGGTATTCAATTGTGACTTTAAAAAGTAGTTAAAAGTATTTAAATTTTTTTTTTTTTTGGTCAGAAAAGTATTTAAAAGTTTAGTGGTATTTAGTTGTGACTTTCAAAAAGTCCTTAAAAGTTTAGCGGTATCCAAAAAATTAATGACTTTTAAAAAGCTTATTAAATGAATAAATTTTTCATATTTTTAAGGCTAATTGTTAATAGCAAAGATCTTGTCAATTTACTAATGACTTTTATCAACTCTATGAAAGTCACTCGCTTAAAAGAAGTCTATAAGTATGAATTGGATCTCAGAGAGAAATTGGTTTTTGGGTGGGGGTGGTGGGGGAGAAAAAAGTGAAAGAGAGGCATAAGAGGTGATGCTTCACTGGCAATGAAGAGAGGAGGAGCTCACGGCCGTTGGGGGGTTGTTTGAGATGTGGTGGGTGGCCGGTTTGCGGCAACTAAGGCGGTGGGTGCTCACGTTGATGGCTGTTTGTTTTATTTTTCTTTCAATTAAATTTTTTTTTTTTAAAGTTTTATTAAGTTAACAGTATTAAGCTGGAGTCAAGTGATTGAACACCTGTCAAAAAATTATGCAAGGGACATGAAGGGAAACAGAAAGGGAAATTCTATATGAACCCCATAAATTACTCTTTACAACCCATAATTTTTTAGACCTCACTAAATTTTAATAAAATTTCAAATTACTCATTAAACCCCCTTTTTTTTCCCTAAATTGCCCTCATAAACCCCATTCCCTAACCACCCATCGAAAACCTCCTTCCCTTTCTGCCACACCCCATCTGAAATCAAACCCCACCCTATCTGATATCCAGCCCCACCCCACCAAAAATTCTCTCCTCTTGCAGACACACCCAATCGCACACCCCATCCCATTTACACCAACCTCCATCGCAGAACCATCGAATAAACCCTTTGCCATCGCCTCCATCGCAGAACATCGAAGAACTCATCCCTTTGCCATCGCAGATCTTTACTCACCATCGAAGAAGCCCTTTGCCATCGCCTCCAGCAAACCCGAACCATCTCTGAATAGAACCATCACACCAATCTCCATCTCTGCAAACCCGAAAGCCATTGAAGGTCAAGTTCTCACAAATCCTTATTCAAGGTTTGATTTCAAATTTGATTTAGATATTTACATTTCTAAGTGTTGATTAAGCCTACGTTTGATTTCACTTTTGAAAAGCCAAAGTCTGACATTGATTTTGATTTCGATTTCAAGGTTCTGGGTAGTTCGAACCTGGTTTTCCGAAAATGGATTCTAGTTTCGGTGGATTGCCACCGAAATGATTACATTGCTTCAGTGGTAGTCCACCGAATTGAACCTGTACTTTCGATGGGTTACCACCGAAATTGTTACTTTGTTTCGGTGGTAGTCCACCGAATGTGTTTCCATTTTTCAGGGGACTCCCACCGAATTTCTTTCGATTTTTCAGTAGTACTCCACCGAATATGTATTCTTTTTTTCAGTGATTGTCCACCGAATTTATTTCCGTTTTTCAGTGATTAAGTAT